GCCCCGCCTCGCTCCTCCGAAACCCGAAGCCCGAGGTGCGCCTTTTCCCGGCGGTCGCTCCCGGCCCTGGGTGGCGTTTCACCAGGCCGCGGCGCTGAGTGGGGCGTCACCCGCTCCAGCTCCCAGCGTCTGTCTGCCTACTGCAGATTCCCAAGGCCCGGAGGGCAGCCGGGCGCCCCCAGCTGTAGGTGTACCCCGCCCCCAGCTTTGTCCCGGCTGCGTAGACCGAGCCAGGGACAGCGAAATGGGCGACTTGGGAAACGACCCTCCGCCCTGCTTTGGCTCCCGTAGCTAAACCCATCCTCTAAGGAAACCCTCAACGGCGGCCCTGCCGGACACACTCTGATTGCTGTTTGCTACCAAAGAGCGTCCTTCCTGCGCCAGGTACGCAGGCAACGCGTCCCACTCCAGTCCCCAAGTGCTGCGGAAGTCTGCTCGCTTTTCCTCACCCAGATTTATACGTGTAATTTGCAAGCTTTGTATGCAGGATCCTGTGACCCAGGGCCCACTTGCTCTCATCCCTCTACCTGATTTGACCCTGTGAGAAACAGACAGAGGCAGAAGTCTCAGGCTAGTGCCTCGCATCTTGGAGAGCTCTCCTAGTCTAGGTCGAACTTTCCATTTTACGTATTTATTTATTTATTTATTTATATTTTTTGCTAAGTACTAGGGATTGAACCCAGGGTTGCTTAACCACTGAACTATATCCCCAACATTCCCAGCCGTTTTTTTTATTATTATTATTTTATTTTTATTTTGAAACAGGTCCTTGCAAATTTCTGAGGTTGACATCGAACTTGTGATCCTCTACAGGCGTGCATCATGATTCCCTGACCTTTCCATATCTGTTTCTTACTTTCTCCTCTTGCCCCATGATTGAGGTTTTATGTTATTTTCCCCCTATTAATAGAAATATCCTACTAGTAGAAGTTAGAAAGGGAAGGACCTTAAAGATATTTTATTTAACCTTGAGAGATTAATTTGCATTTTGATTCCCAGATGCACCTGACTGTGTCAGTAGTCAGTCATTTACTCTCTTTAAATCTTAGTTTCCTGCAGGACTGCGGGGAAAAAAATTTTTTTAATCTTTTTTTTAATATTTATTTATTTATTTTAGTTTTCCGCGAACACAACATCTTTGTTTGTATGTGATGCTGAGGATCGAACCTGGGCCGCACGCATGCCAGGCGAGCGCACTACCGCTTGAGCCACATCCCCAGCCCCTATGGGAAAATTTGATTGAACCCTATATGAAAGTACACAGTGGGCACTCACGTATTTATTTTCTTTTATTCCTTCCTGTCCCAAGGCAGGGACAGAATCAGAGATCCCCCATGTTGCCAATTCTTGAAACAGTGCTCTCTCCCTTGTTTCCCAAACCCAAGTTTCCTATTTCTCTCTGACCTCATCCTCCAGTGCCTCCCCATACACATTCCTTTCCTGTTTTCAAGTTTTACTCCCTTTTCCTTACCTTTATGTCTCTTAGCAGCATACAAACCCCAGAGAACCCCCTAGAAGTCCCAGGAGGGTTCCTGGAGCTCACAGTTAGCCTAGATCCTCCAGTGACTCACAGAGAAGCCCTGTCTCTGCTCTCCAGCTCTAGGACCAAGCTAGGTGGCTTTGAAGTCTGCTGAGAGTCGACTTAAACCAGGGCAGGAGGGATAGCCTAGGTCTAGCTCTACTTGGACCCCGGGACATCCTCCCTCCCTCTCTTCTTCTGTTCAACACAGAGTGTACTCGGGAAGCACTGGTGTCCACAGCATAGAAGGAGGTGCAGGGTCTGTCTTCAAGGGGTTAAGTATCAAAAAGTGGGGACACCAGAGGCATACTGATGGAAATTTTACATAACAAGGGAGAATATGGTTGATTCTGGTGAAAGGCACAGACCTCTGTTTAGATATTCAGAGAGACAATAGGTTAATTCATTGTTTTCTATCAAGTATATATTGATCATTATGTGGAAGGTGCTTAGGAGATGCGAGACACACAAAAATTATAATAAAATCTTATGACTGTGGAGGCACACATAAGGAATAAGGGAGAGTCGCCTGGAGGAAAACCACTCCAGATGGGCTCTGAAGAACAGTCAGTATTTCTAAATGTGGAGATAATGTAAATAATACCAGCCAGGGGGACTGATATTTGTAAAGGTCAGTGATAGCTGGTAGAGCATATGTGAAGTGTGGCACGCAGCCCCGACTGGCTGACACAGAGTTGAAGAAGGGAACAGAAGTAGACAGTGAGGCCTGAAAGGGAGTCTGGGGCCTGTTGGGAAGACCTCAAGTGCCTGACCTGGAGGCCTTTGTGTCAACGCTAGAGATGCCAGTTGAGCAAATAAAAATACAAGATGTCCAAGGAAATTTGAATTTCAAATAAATAAGAAATAATTTGTAATGTATGCTGTATACCATATTTGGGACATACTTATGCTAAAATTTTTTGTTGTTTTCTGCAGCTGAAATTTAACCTGTTTTGTCTGGCAACTTTATTTAGTGCCATGCTTTAGAGGTGTTCTTGGAAGCCCCAGGACTCAACCAGGCCTGAAGTCAGCCATTGTCTCCATCTGTATTCCCAAATAAATCCCAGAGGCATGAGCTTCCTAAGGGGACAGGAATGGGGCCACTAGGGTCAGCCTGCACTCTTAGGCATAGGCACATTGGCCAGAAGGCCAAGGCCCTGTGTGTGACACTGGGAGTCCCTCCAGGAAGAAGGTTCTGCAACCAACATCATGCCTTCAAGAACCATGAGAAGGGCTGGGATTGTGGCGCAGTGGTAGAGCACTTGTGTAGCATGCATGAGGCAGTGGGTTCCATCCCCAGCACCACATAAAAAACTAAATAAACAAAATAAAGATTCTGTGAACATCTACAACTAAAAATATTAAAAGCAAACGACAAAAAAAAAAAAAAAATGAGAAGAGGCTTCTAGTCCCTGCTCTTCCCCAGGCTCAGCAGCTACCATGGCCCTCTGGGTGCTGTACATTCAGTGGTAAAGGAATCTGGCCCATGCCCAGCTTCTCAGAGGCATAGCTGAGATGTTCAGATAAAATGTGCGCAGGAAATGGCACTGCAAAAGACTATGGTTGTGATGTCACATACGCAGAAACAGACCTGGAGGGAACAGTCACCTGCTTGCGGTGTACAACCAAAGAGCAGAATTTTGAGAGCTCAGCTTCCAGAGGAATGTGCCCGTCCATGAAGATAGATGGAGCAGGAATTTGCTGTCTAGGTGAAGTATGGAAAGGAGGGGAGTCAGAACCAGGATTCCTGTCTTAAATAAGTTCTTACTTTCTCTGCAGAAATCCAAAATAAGGCGAGACAAGAAAGAAAGCGAAAAGGAAATGGCATCTATGAAAGGCCCCCGTGGCTCTGTGCCGGGCACTCCCTGGGGGTCTCTGTCCACATTGTTTGTGTCTTGCTCAAGCTTATGATGGCATCAGGTGAGACACTGTCAGCATCAGCCGTACTTGGAATTTGGAGTTTTCTGATCTTTTCTCTGCCTGGCAACACGTGGTAATGTCCTCTCTCAATGCTAGGCAGTGGCAGGGGGCGGTAGCTTCCCGGTCAACCACGTGGTCTCCAGGAAAAACAGTGGTCATCTACAGCGTGCCATGTGGCTAAGTTAGGATATGGGTTAGGGTCATTAAAGGCGTTTTTTAGTTACCCTGTCCTTGCCTGCCCTCACCCGTGCCTGTGTTTGTTCCTCTGTGTCCACTCCCATCCCCAACACCTGGGTTTGGAGGGAAGGGAGTGGGGAGGAACTCAAGCTCTCTAGACTAAACCAGGTCCTCTAATTTGAACCCCCTTCCCAGGTCTCATCCGTGGTGGCCCCTGTGGCATTGGCTAGAGCCCAGGGTCCTCCTGGGGCTTGTTTGACCAGGCCAGAGGAACTCACCCTTAGAAAGGATTATTATTCTCCGGCCAAAGTGAACCCTGCTCAATGTGTTCAGCCTGAAAGATGACCTTGGCAGTGACACTTCAGATGATCCCCTGTGCCACAGGCAAGCACTGTGGGAAGGTCCAAAGTTTCTATATGGACCAGAGCTTTCTGTGTTCCAGAGAAGAAAGGCTTAGATGTAGGGGGCAAGTGACAACCATCTCTAAAGCCCAGGAACCCTAACTTGCCTCTGGGCGTCAATATTCACATCACATCACCAGGCCAGGGGTGGCTTCCTGGAGCCCAGTGTCACATAGCACTGTCACTCACTGTGACCATCTGAAAACCTCTAATCTCATCAGCTGCAGCCACTGCAGCGGCTCTTGCTCAAGGCACCTGCTTTGAACAGTCAAACTCTTTACAGCACCTTGTAGAGAGAGAGAGGAGGGAAGAAGGTGACAGCCCCAGGGGACACAGCTTCAGGAAGAAAATCACAGGACCTAGTAAAGGGCCCAGGGAGACCAGAGAGGAGAGCGAGCCTGTAAAGGATGGTCATGCAGCTGTTAGCTGCCAAGTCAGAAATAGGAGGCTGGCTGCCTTGAACTCTGGCACTTCTCCCTTAAAGCAGGTTCATTACCTTGACCTACTTCTCAAGGCCACAGGGAAAGAACAGCCTGTGAGAACAATGCACAGGTATCTAAAGTGGGAGGGTCTCTGAGAGCTGAGCCTTGTCTCCACCTCCAAGCTTGGCTGCCAGGTCTTCGGGGGTATGCTCTTGTCACCAAGCCAGTGACTTTAGGGCCTTAGGCTGCAGGAGGG